TGATAATTCAGTAAACTCTGATCAGCGCGAGAACGGATTTGTGAGTATTTCTGTACTTTCATCGGGGCTATGGTATCACTTGAAGCATTCTAGATTTAATTTTATTTCTTTGAAAACATCAAAGTTTTTAGATCTACGTTTGGAGTTCTCGAGGTTTGGATTGACTACTGTTTGCCCACCGAAATGTGTTTCATAAAACAGGCACTAACAGAACGAACTTGAGAGTATTTCTGTGAACAGACGTACAGCAATATGGAATTTATTTGTCATGCAATCCGATTCGCTGATTTCCAATAGATTGTCTCGTAATAATCGTACCCTTCGGTTTTCTTTCGCCTGTTGTTCGCCTGATTTTGTTGGTCTACTCAGTTAGGCATTGATGAAATCAATAATGTTAGAAGCGAAAACTGACCTGAGGCCTGTTTCTCGAAAGCCCCGGAAACTTTCCGGGCTCGCAAAGCCATTTTTAGTTAATCGGTATTTAAAAACAGAGAGGTGTATACGCCTGAAACTTCTTGTACGGAATGGAACCTCTGTCTATATTAAGAATATGTAAATAAAACAGCTCTGTAATCATAAGGTTTGAGTTTTTGCTACGGCTTTCCGGGTGCGAAAACTTTTCGAGACCTTCGGGAAACGGGACTCTGAACAAATACTAAAGTAACACCTTAGCAACAAAATTCCCGCGTACAACATTAACAGATACCTGTGATCTACATTTGCTGTTGCTTCGTCAATGATTAATATTTTGTTATGCTTCAGGACCGCGCGTGCAAGGCATACAAGTTGCCGCTGACCCACACTGAAATTTGAGCCTCCTTCGGTTAGTTTAGTTTCCAGTCCATCTGGTAGTTCAGTGACCATTTCCTTTAGCTGTACCTGGTAAGACGAAAAGAAACATCTAAACACCTGAAGAGAAAAGGGCAAACCTCCAAACATACATCTGTCTCTAGTTGAAATGTACTGTGTGTTGTTTTCTTTCCTTTACCGCGCATGTTTCATGTGAAACAAAATACCGGTACTGTAAGTCGTTTCAATAATTTGANAGGTTTCACGGATTTCAAGTTAGCAGTTTTACTTCACAAAAATTAATTTATACGCCCCTTATTTTCCTCAATACACGGTGCTTGCTAATGTACTGTACATAATTTAACCGCTTTTTAAAATATGACGGACGATTGAAGAGGCTCAAAGAGCAAACTAATATCGAACTACCGCGATTTAACAGTTTGTATAACGTTTTTGAAGTTTTTTTAAGTTCGTCGACTGTGTATAAAAGACGTGATGTCTTGTTCTGTTCGTTATTTAACCAAGAAAGTTCAGTGCAACTCGTACAAGCGGAAGCTAGCCAAAGAAGATGCCGCCTCCTTGCTCAATCAGAACAGAGACGCACAGATAATCTCGACTTGATTCACGTGACATTCCCGCCTTTTTGCAGCGTCTCCTAAGAGTAGCGATTGGCTAGTTTACCATCGACGCCATTAGCATGAGCTTGCGTGACAAAGTTCTAGTTTAAGGACAGAGATTACCTGAGGTATGATGGACAGATTGCTTCTCAAGTCACGCAATGAAATGTCCGTGATGGGCACAGCGTCTATCCGAACTGTACCTTCCGGTTCGGCCAGTCTGAACAACGCTGCCATTAATGATGATTTGCCAGCTCCAGTTCTGCCAACAATACCGACCTAAAAAAACAGAAATCTTGACAGTCATCATATAGCAGCAGCTAAGCTACATCAGGTCAAATTATGAGGCGCTTTAATATGGCGAACGCATGTGCATTGTTGTCGTACCCAGAGGCCGCGATTCCTTTGGTCAGCACCAAAAATCACGAAGATGTTCTCTATTTCTTATTACAGATGGACAATGCCCAGCCACTATACCTATGATGCTTTACTGTCCTTTAAAAGAGCATCACTTTGTTACTTAATTTCCCCTGTATTTTTAGTTTCCTATAGCACCAGGACAGGGTTAGGATTGCTCTGGGGACGAGAATGGCATGTGAAAACTTATTTGACAAACAATGTTTCTAAATTAAATAGAAAATAAATAAACACCAATTTGTTCTAAGTTAGAACTTTCAATTTTGTGTACAAAGAAACCAACTACCTTTTCCTGTGCTCTGATGCAGAAATTCAACCTCCTCAACACGTAAGGCAGTGTGTGATGATGGGTATAGTAAAGTCCCTCAAACGTAATTATACCGTACTGTGGCCAACTCTCTGGTACAGCGACTGTCTTAGCGTGGGGCTGGGTTTCCTGTTCCAGATTGGAGTACTCGATGACGCGCTCCACAGAAGTCATCTGGAGGATAACGAGCAAAATTGTAAGAGGTGACAATGACTAGCGAAACGTAAGACGGTATAAGTTAACAGTGTTCGTACCCCTGAGCTGCGATAATAACATAAGAAATGCTATCTCTGGGCACTTCTCCCCGTTGTCCAACAAGACATTTTAGAGACAACTGAGTAGCAAAGTTGCCTCTTTCATGCATTTCCTGGGAGCAAAATTTAAAGCATTTCCAACAAAAGTACGCTAGGCACAAGACATTGGAAACAAAGATCTCCTTAAGCCCACAAAACTAAGAAATAATATATTATCAAGGGTAGACTAAGTGACAGAAAATACATGAAATGATCTGTACATCGCAAATACCTGAAGAAATTTTACCATACAGATGAAATTTCCCTCTCCACAGAGAAATTGTATTTACTTCTAGCAGGTAACAATACTGATTTGTAACGTCTCTACATTATAAGTTCAGTCAGTAATTTGGCCACTCAAAATTACTATTAGAGTGTGACCAGTTGGTTAAGTTCAAGTTCACTTCAGGTTCTTCCTGGCAACTTGCACCAAGTGTTCACGATTCTGAGAGGAATGGCGGCAGATCAGGCCCCGGCTAAATTCTAAACCTGATCAAGGTGGTGTAATACGAGACAATTCCAACAAACGGTGTCTTTATCAAGCCTTTTTGCGAACGCCACCTTCAGTACTGGCATAGCTTACTTGATAGGTTTTGGACGACATACCAGATTCTCAACTTCAGCACTCTGTCTAACACACCACTGAAATCCTCCTGTTAACATCTTGGCGTATGTTACTGTAAGGCCAACCACTCCGGCAGACATGACTGGAACGAAAATGGAAAAAGCGCGATCTCTGATGAACACAAACTTAGTTAAAAACTATTTAGAAAGTGTAAAATGTTGAAGTCCATGTCCTGTTGGGATTTCCTAGAAAAAGAAGTACTTAAGTACTACGCCATTTTTTATTTTGTCTTCTAGTTTTAGAAATGCATCCTGCATCATCCAAACATTGTACCGATTGCCTAACGCGCGTGCAAATGACAAAAACAAAATACGATTCTACGGTGCAATACGGGCTCATATTTTGCGCGTTGTCTTGACCTAATATGGTACAATGGCGTAATAGTGGAGCAATAAAGAAACATTTTTACAAGCCTTAGAACCCATGCAATTGACTATGAGTCCTTCATAAGGTGTTTCCTGACATTTTTCCTAGCTGTAATTACGGTAATCCAGTCAAGCCCCCCGCCCCGTTAATTAAAGACTTACGTATTCCCCCTTCTGCCAAAAATAGAGGCGTAAAAGACGCCAAGCTAATAAACACAGTGCACATGAAGTCGAGCCTGGATCCAAGCCACCTGGATCCTGCCATGAACAGGAACCAAGAAGCCGTGTGGTCATCTTGATAAACTTCATACAGATGTCTGAATCGACCTTCTGCCAAGTAAGCTCGAATGGTGGTTAGACCGTGGAGACTGGTAGATATATGAGAATACAAAGGACTGCGGTCTAAAGAGGAAATAGGATGAAAAAGAATTAAAGTAAAATATTTCACTACCACGTTAGTTCAGAGGGCCAATAACTAACTCTACCAATCAGATATTTCTGTTGCCGGTGTAATGCTTTCAATGTATTGAGCTGGGCACTGTCCTATTTGAACCCCCCGCGCGGGTTTCTTATATATTTTTTCATTTATTTATAAAAGAATTGATTACAAGTAAAACATTCTTCCATCCCTGACAAGTCCTTCCCTCTTGCATTTTCTACAAACTTGTTTTGTTATCTTCAACCGTTTTAGAAATCATACTGACATTTTACCGACTTTCCGACAAAACAATAATGCATGCCAGAAAATTACCTAAGCGTAGGTGACATAGTAGCCTCCTACGCAGCCATTGGCCTCGTCACGCAATCTTTCTCCCCCTGTGGGGAAGGAAGATTGCGTGACGAGCCCAGAGAAAGTCTGCGGCAGAGGCTAACGACATAGTAACCTCTTACAAACCGAGAACAAGGAATATTGGATGAGGTCGTGGCAGTACGGACCAAGCGCAGCAAGGTCTGTACAAAAACGACCGAGGGCTAATATTCCCCAGTACGGTTCGAGGTGGTTAGGTTAGTAAGTAGACAGAGGATGATACATGTAAGCGCGTAGATATGAAATATATTTTCGATTGTTCAACTAGATATCTCACGAGTGAGTGCAGCGAACGAGTGAGATATAAAGTTGAACAAGAGAAGAGATATTCCATATCTTCAAGCAACCGTGTATTATTTTGTTTATCATATAGATATACTGATAACGACGTTTTTGACGATTTTCCGAAGATTTCCGACCACTTTCCGAAGATTCTCCAAAAACTGTCCAAAGGCCACACGAACATTTCCGAACAATTTCCGAAAATGTCCGAAGATTACCGAAGATTGCGGAAGACTTTAGAGGATGATCCGAAGATGTTTCGATCATACACCAACAAATTTAAGGTCAAACAAGATATCAGTGAAGTAATCGATATCTTCACTACAAATCACTAGTGAGGATATGGAAAATACGCCACCCGAGTACCGGATTTGGTTTCGCATGAATTTTGCGAGTGGTGTCTTTTCCAGTAGAACACTCGTGTCTATATGTCATATTAAACAACTCACAACAAAATATCCCGAAAGAAGTTAGAGACAGCTTACACACACGAAACACTCAGACTTACTCATTGCTTCAAGACGTTTAATCTCTCTTGCTGACTTTAGGTAGTAATGACGAATGAACAGGAACAACAGCACAGTGGGAATGGCTGCCGCCAGTAAGTATGGCATAAACACCACATTCAGCGACAGAATTGCAAATGACAACACCATCAGCTACAATAAAATAATAATAAAAAACAAGTCAAGTCTAAAGCCGTTGAAATTTGTCAAACCGTTTAGTATTCCTTCCGTATAGCCTGTTTATATCACATATTTTTTGGGTAACGGTTAATGTAAGTGTGCGGAAACCCAACCCAAAACATTGAATAAAAATCCAATATTTAACAATTATTCCACGAAGGCGTGTTGGATATGAGATGATAGATAGCTAAGGAGGAGTGTAGCTTAGAGTTGTCATCATACCATGCTCTAGAAATATGGTAAGCATACGCGTGATTTTTCGGGGCGTTTTTACTTTTATTCAATTTTAGTTTTCCATATTTTGGGCGCGTTTTCAATAAAACAATTATTCCACTCCCGCTTGTTGGATATGAGATGATTAGCTCGTTAAATATAGCATGATGGCCAAGCCAATGAAAACTCTTGAAATGCATAATCCGATGATCCAGCTTTTAATAATACACGTACAGCGGAACCCCGTTAATGCGGTCACCAACGGGCCATGAAAATTTCGCCGTATTAACGGGGTAGGGCCAAACTTTGACTGGTCTAAATTGAGCTTCGTCTCACAGATATATCACAAATGCACTTCTAAACAGTTGTTCTTTAATGAGTATCCAGAATGCAGATATAATTTTAAAAAAATTGAAACTTCATTCGGTACATGCAATATTAGTATAATTTCCAGAGGTTAATATAAGAACTGGACTTTCTGATTGGTCGAAAAGCTCGGCATATGACGCTATACTCACCCCAGTAGAGTTTGGTTACTAAGCTCGTAACCTTTGCCCATCTGGGCAAGTAAACACGGCTGACAGTTGCTGAATGAAATTTTCATTTACTCGAAAGACATCACTCCAAGTCCAGGATATTTGAAAGGATGGAGAATTTTCAAATTGATTGCTGTCGCCCTTGGACCCACAATCTTTTCAAGAAATTGTATTCAAGGCATTTAAGAATCGTAAACGTAATGGTTACGTTGATCGCCAGCAGGTCAGATCGATTGACCGAAAGTTATTTTTCTTCAAACTAAAGCTACTCATTTTTAGACGATGAATAAACGAATGAAGTGAAACACGATAAAACAAAAGTACTGGATGAATTTTTTTTTCGTAGTGTTTCGCTCCTTCGTTTTACCGCCGAACTCGATGAGTAAATTGATTGACAATCGATGTACATGTAAGCTTGTTATTAAAACTACGGCTGCATACGTGTATGCACACGAACAATTGCGTTTGTGCTTTTATGTTTTTGTCCGTCACTTTGTAGTCCTTGATATTCACCTCTGAAAATTATGCTAAAACAATTATTCGCCTCAGGCTCAGTGATCATTGGTGAACATTCTTCACCTCCACTTCGTCTCGTTAATTAACAATGGAAAAATGAACATAACTGGTTAAAGAGGCCGCATAAAGGGGGTAAAATTATATAGGATTGTACAGGTTGGGATTTCAGAATGTGGCCGTTGGCCGTATTAACGGGATGGCCGCATTAACAGGGTTTTGTCATAAGAAAATGTTTGGGCGTTTTGCCGAGACAAAAAAAGTGGTCGTAATTACGCAGTGACTGTATTAACGAGGTGACCGTAAGGCGGGGTTCCACTAAACTCGCTTGATACTATTTAAAGTTGGATAAACTCCGGCGGTATGGACGACCCAGCCCGACGAAGATCTCACCTTTTACAAAGACAAAAATGAAGCTCAACATACCCGAACATAGTCATAGTATGTGTAAGGCAGCAAATCATCCATCTGACCAATGTCTTTTGAGAACCTGTTCAACACTCTTCCTGCAAAAAATGCAAAACAATTGGAATGTGTCATGAAAACTAGATAGATGCATATGTTTTGTTTTGCTTGCCTGGCCGGCTTTTCTTCCTTCTGTTCTTCCAGTTTTTTTTACCCCAAATAAGGGGTGGGTGGGTGGGACGGGCCCCCTGGGCCCATCCCGTTGATCCGCCACTGTTACCCAACTGTTCGCTACGTGGAAAAGATTTTCTGCTTTTCATGAAGGCATTTGCTGGGCAGCGAGGAGAAAACTACGACCAACACCTACCAGCGGGGTTTGTATCAAAGAAGTAAGTTGTCGCACCAAGGAGCTTCTTAAACATCTTATTGTGAAGGTTCTGAGACGCAGATACAGCAATGTAAAGGAAGACAACAGCAGCTGCAAAGGCTAAGAGGAAGGTGCCACCAACAAGGGAGCCGTAAATTGAAATATTGTGTTTCCTCATTTCAGTAAGTTCTTCAGATGTAGTCGAAGAGTTGCTCGAAAGAGTAGCCGCTTCATACGCAAGTTTTTCCTCCAGATCCGCCCTACAAAGATCACATTTAAAAACAGTCAACTGGATCAAAACCCTCAGGTATAACACAGTAATACAGTTATTACTAAGGTAGGTCAAAAAGAAGCCATAAAGGAACAAGGATGATGAAGAATAGAAAAGATTGACACGGATTGCAAACGACGAACTTGAAAAAAATCTAGGCAAACTCCTTTAACAGAAAAAGAAGCTTAAACTACTTATTATAGTGTCATAAACATTTGAGCAATTTCAGAACACGAGAAATATTCAGATACCTCGACTGTTTTAGTACATTTCTTTGGAGTTTTCTCACATTTCCCAAGTGTCTAACGACAATATAATAAACGTTCTAAGTTCTTCATATGCTATATCACATAGATTACGCGCAAACAAAACAAGAAAATACACTTTTTTCAGTTTTTTTACGTTAGTTTTAGCCTGCAATCGAACTGAATAATACTAATACTAATATTAATACTAATACTAACACCAATACCAACACTAACATTAACACTAACACTAACAAACACTAACACCAACACTAACACTAACAATCACTAACACTAACACTAACAAACACTAACACTAACACTAACAATCACTAACACTAACACTAACACTAACACTAACAAACACTAACAATCACTAACACTAACACTAACACTAACACTAACACTAACACCAACACTAACAAACACTAACACTAACACCAACACTAACAAACACTAACGCTAACAATAACAAACACTAACATTAACACTACCACTACTACTACCACTACCACTACCACTACCACTACCACTACCACTACCACTACCACTACCACTACCACTACCACTACCACTACCA